CTCCGAATGCCTTTAGGGCTGATTCTGAGGCCAGAGTGCTATTTAGGACACCTGCCATTCTATGAGTCTGCTGAGTATCTCACTTCCCATGTTGGATCACTCTCCCCTTTGTTTACTCCATCGGTTAGCGTTAGCAGGTACTAGACTTGTCTATGTGCTCCCTTTGACTCCCAGTCCCTCCACCATGACCAACTGTGAACTGAAATTGATCACCTGGAACAGTGAGATGGCATTGGTACATGCCACCTCGATGGGATTGAATTGGAATCCCCTGGTATGCTTCCAACTCCACCACTTGGGGCAAGTCAGCCTGAGCATGTCCCAAATTATACATCTCTTCCCTCTCCCATTCCCACTCCCATGTTCAACAGGGATCACATTTCAGTTAATTTTCAACACTTAAGAATAACTGTGTATTAATACACAGTTATTCACATTAAAACTTTAATCTACCTTGGGTAGATTTTTACATAGATACTTCAAAAAGTCCATGTAAAATGAATTTAATGATAAGATTATTTTGGTGCAAAATTGTTTTGAAATTCATTCATGTTTTCAGAATATGCATTTTCCATGAACTTTTTGAAGATCCATCCCTCAGATGATGTGAGATAGGAATCCAATTATGCCCACATCAGACTACAATTGAAAATATCTTTATTGCAACACTATTAGTGTTTTATATCAACTTACCATGTATGAATAGATTTGTTATTCTATCCTTGGGCTAAAAATACACTTAAGTTTATTTATTTTTACTCATTTGAGAGAGAGAAAGAGAGTGGGAATATCAGTCAGACAAGGAGAGATATTCTATCTGCTGGTTCACGTTCCAGATGCCCACAGCATTGAGCGCTGGGTGAGGCCAAAGCCAGGAGCCTTGAACTCAGTCTGGGACCAACTCCTTGAGCCATCACCAGTGCTTCCCAAGGTGTGCATTAACAGGTTTCTGGAATTGAAAGTGGAGCTGTAACTCCAAACCAGACAGTCTGATATGAACACAGGTGTCTGAAGTGGGGACTTAACCATTGAGTTTAATAATACTTTTAATCTTCTACCTGAAGTAGATTTTTTTCAGTTATTCTTCCAGTGAGTATCTGTGGTTGGTAAATTTTCTCTTTGTCTGAAAATATCTTAATTTCATCTTCACTCTTGAATATTGGTTAAAAATGCGGTGGAGTTTTAGTTTGATAGGAATTTTATATTGAGTAAATTTCTCCAAATATTTAGCTTATCATACTACTGAAACCGTAGGCTTTCTAACTGATCTTTGTCTTCCTTCCTTCTGAGTCTCTTTTCATGACAATTTGTTTTTAACAGCAGTTAACTTCATAAAGGGATCCATTATGAGAAAGCAAAGGAAGATGGATAAATTCAGTTTCTACCTTCTCTTGCTGCAGTCATATTTCTTTCTTCTACATTCATTGTTTTCCTTTCCTGCCTGGAAGTTGGGTGCCTGTGGCAGACTTGAGATCTATATCACAACCTTATTCATTCCCTGAAAATTTGGCCAAGAATGGTGTGAGATGGAAGCAAATAGAGCATTTCAGCTGTGAGAGAAAAATTATTGGCATAAGGAAACAAATGTAATGAGCCAGAAACTGGATCAAGCTATACCAGCATGAGAAATAGTCACAACATCTAATGTGACCCGCAGAGATAAACAAGATTTGACAAAGGCATTTTGTATGAACCAATCAGTCTTTCAGCTTATTCAGGAATTAGGGCCTGAAATATAGAGATCTTAGAACACTCAGAATCCTTGACGAGACATAAATAATGAGTGCCCATTTACAGTGGAAGAAAATTAGTTCTATAAAACTGAGAGACTTGCCAATATTAGCTGCCAAATTAACAATATTGAGGAGCTAGATTCAGTCATTGCCAGTCTCTCCACCAGGACCAAACATCCTGACTTTTTCAGCACATGAGGGGTTATCAAAGCATTACCAAGATGTTGGCGCTAAGAACCAGCCTCCTGTTAGATGCATTAACTCATACAAGTAACAAAGGAGGATTCCTTAGCCATCCTCTTCCATTTAGTTTTCCCTGAAGCAACGAAAATTCTAAAAGACAGATGAATGAGCTCTAATAGCACATTTTGTTTAGATTTATTTTCATTTCAATTCTTACATGCACCAACTACAAATCATCTCCTGCATAGGTGGTGAAATTGCTTGATTATAAGCCAGAAAGAACCAGCTTGCTGTAAGATATTTTGAAGTCCTATGACGTATCATCACCCTTCTAACAGGGATTACAATAATAGCTGGTACTTACTGAATCCATATTGTGGGCTTGGCACTGTGGCATTTAACATAGAGTGCTTGATTTAATCCTCACAACAGCCATACAGCATGTACACTACCATCATCTTCATATTGCAGAAGAGGAAGGTGAGGTTCAAAGAGTCTAAGGAATCAATTTGTCAGGGTTACTCTATGTAAAAGTGGTGGAAATGAATTTATAACAGTCATATCTGTTTGATTGCAGTTAAGAGTCTTCCATGTTAACATCCTGAAATAATTCCATGAGAAGTTCCCTGTTCTGTTTGAGATCATCTGCTGTGTTTCCATTCTCATCAGAATTTATTGAGTAAAAGTGATGCAGGGTGGCGCCTGCATTAGAAAAGACTCCATGTTGCTCGCACAGAAAACCTAACTGAAGCTGGCAGTAACAATAACAGACTTGGATGCTGTTTTCCCACTCCTAAATGAACACTGGAGCCTGGGGAACATCACGTATTTATTGGCTCAGTCCTGGAGGGTGTAACCCTCCATGAACCACACGTTGTGGCAGGGGGAAAACTGATTCAGCCTGCAATCTGGGAAATTCCTGAACCTTGGATGGGGACCAAAATGAATGCCTGTCCCTTCAGATGGGGACGGGGCAAATGGGAAAACAGAAGCATAGGAAAAGGAAGGAAAATATATCAGTTAAGCAAAGGAATCCTGACTTCCTTTCCAGGTAAAAGGTTAATACACAAATGAAACTTGAAGAAAGAGTAGGGTTAAATTTTACATCTTAAACAAATTTCACAGATGATGGGTAAATTAGTTATCCACTGTAGCATAGCCTCAAAATTCAGCTGCTTAAAAGAACAAACACATTTCTGCGGGTTAGTAACCTGGGTGTGGCTTAGCTGGCTCAGGTCTCTTGCAGTCTGGAGAAGGATTTGCTTCCAGCACACGCCCATGCTTGTGGGCAGAATCCACGTCTCTTGGGCTCTTTGACTAAGCACTTCAGTTCCTTGGTGTGCAGCCTTCTCCATTAGGTAGTTTACAATGGGTAGCTGGCTGCCCTCAGAGCGAACAGATAAGAGAGAGAGATAAGATGCCCAGGACAGTCTGTATAACCTCATATTAGAAGAGACATTCCACCACTTCTGCTATTTTTAGTTCTTCAGAGATGAGTCAGTAAGTGTAGCCAACACTCAGGAGAATTACAGAAAAGTGAGAATTTGGGGATTTTTAGGACCTGCTTGGACTGAATGCTTATGTCCCGTCAAAGTTCTTGTATTGAAATCCTAACTCCTTATGTGATATAATTTGAAGATAGGGCCATTGAGTGGAGCCCTTACGAACAGGACTATTGTCCTTGTATGAGAGACATAAAAGCTGGGTGTCACTCTCTGCTGCCTAATTATACAATGAGAAGAGAATCTGCAAACCGAGAAAGGGGCCCCATTAAACACGGGGTCTACCAGAACCTCGATCTCGGACTTCCAGCCTCCAGAACTGCGAGAAACAAGACTGCCATTGAGTTCATGGTAACACAGCGGCCTAGACTAAGAGGGTTGGCTCATAAGCTGCCTACCACAACGTGTGCATCTGAGTGTATGTGCACGTGTATACGTCTGTTGGGAGGGTCAGTGGCGGCACACTGCATGGGATCAATAGTGTAGGGAGCTGTCATATAGCCTCCTGCTAGGAGCTGTACAGGAGTGAGACAGTAGTCATGCTCCCTGCAGGGCAGAGATGGCGTTCACAAGTTGGGAATTTGACTTGGTTTAACAAAGGGGCTATTTACAAACATAGGGCCAAGTGTATAGCAGTCACAAGGGCTAGGACTCACAGCAGCCGGCAGAGGACTATCCTTAGGCCTCAAGCAGTGAGGGAGAAATTCAGAAGCAGGAAAGGATATTTGTGTGCAGAGACTCCAGACAGCAGCTATTACTTTCAGTTAAGCGTGCAGTCAGCCTATGGCATCTCCACAGGGAAAGAGCCAGGGGAATAAATACCTTGACCTCGCTCTCCTCCAGGCTCCTCCTGGCTCCATCTGTCCATGGGCTGAGCCCAGCTGGAAGCCAGAGGGAAATGGAGGCAGCACAGGTCAACCTCCTGGGCCACACAGTAATGTGGAAGGGCTTATGAGGGAAATCAAATCCACAATAGGCAGAGAGGAAGAAGGAGGCGTATGCCAGCGATCACAGTTTGGAGAAAACTAGATGGAAGAGTTTGCTGGTACAAAAGAGTTTTTAACTTCAAAATGAGTTTTCATATAATTGCATCTCCTGAAGTTCTTTAAAAACAGGAAACATGTATCCATCTCTATGAAATGATTTGAGAAGAATTGTACAGATGAAAGGAATGCGAGTGGCTAAGACGACTTTGAAGGGTCGTTGTAACCTGAGGATTCAATGTTACAGGAGGAGTGATGGAAATCAGGGAACAGGATCTCCTGCAAAATATTCACAACTCTTTGAAATGGAAATTTGGCTATTCCAATTTAAGAATCAAATTAAAGCAAACATTCAGGGTGTTAGCAGGCCATGCTCTGTGCCTGTTTGAAATGGCAGTTGAAGGAGGGAGGCGTGCTTTTTCCTGGATGAAGCAGGATCTAGCTCAGCCTGTTTTCATCTTTACTTAGCACCTGCTGGCTTGGAGTGGTGTCGCCCAAGCAATCAGACGGTGGGTGTGCCAAGAGCCTGACCTCCCCATGGCTGCGGCCCCTCCCCACACACCCCATGACAGCCTGTCCTGATATAGATGGACAGGGGACTGGTTTAAAATGACAGTCTCAAGTTCATTTAGGAAGAGAAGGCTAATTCACAGAAGCAGCCAGGCAAGCTTCCTTTCTCAGTAGGAATATTCCTACCCTCCTTCCCATGGCCCACCTGGGAGCCCATTTTGCCTTTAGATCCCGCTGGCAGAAGACCGACGATGAACTCTGTCGACATAGCATGTCCTTTATCCTGCACAGAGCCATTCGCAATGACTTCTTTCAGAGCTACCTCTACCTGCTGGAAAAGATTCCTCTGGGTAAGTGAGTCAGAGATACCAGATAAGGAGCAAGAAAGGACTGAAAATATTGCATGAGCTTGTGGGGTTTCTGGAAGAGAAGCTAGAACAACGGGCACTTTTCAGACGGAATCCTCAACCAGTGCTGGTGGCCTGAAGGGCTTCAATGGCATTCTTCTAGGGAGAGTCAAAATCAAATGCTGCTTAGCAAGGCAAGATTCTATTTTGGGATTTCCATGCTCCCTCAGGCATAGTGATTTTCTTCTCTGGGTGTCAGTTGCCTATCAGGCATATAGAAATTCACTTCTTGAGCTTAGAAGGACATTTTTAATATTTGCAAAAGCTTAAGGTTGGTCAGGGTTAGTAACTCTAAGATGAGAGAATTAGTGAAATACCATATTAAGTGAGGTACAGTGGTAGAATTAAAACGTAAGACTGCACAATAATAGATCAAAATGGGACTGAGGGGTGTGTGTGTGAGTGTGTGTGTGTGTATAAAATCTTCTCTGGACTTCTTGAGTCATAAGAACAGTCAAAAAGCCTAAAATGACAGATTTTAGTTTACTCTTTGAATATTAAGGAAAAAAACCTGGGTAGTAGTCTGCCTCTGCTTTCGTTATTTCCTCTAGTTTTCAGGGAATTGGACAATAGAGCAATAAAAAGCTTATCTGGTTTGTCTACACTACTTTTCTCAGCCTCTGTGAAAGGAGTTACTTCAGGGCATTCTAAGCAGCACTGAAGAGGAAATAACTCACAATTAAAGGGTGAAGGACCCCCCCTTAGATTTGTATTTTCCCCAAAAGCAGGAACACTGTGTATCAGGCCCGTCTATTTTCTTAAGTTCACTTCATGTGGCCGTAGTTTCCAGCTGTGTAAAGAGCTACATAATTCTTGGTTATACATTCAAGAAACTGGATGTTAGCAGCCTACAAAAGTCTTTTTTATGAATACATTTCTTTTGCATCTTTAATTCTAGACATACAAATACCTTCACCTCACATTTATACAGCGTTTGTGTAAAAACTTTCTCATCTATGATTTTATTGATCCTTACACCATGTATGTGATAGACAAAGTGTCATTGTTCCTCCCCACCCCTGCCACCCTAATTCCTCATCCAACCATTTACTTTTTCAAATGAGGGATAGAAAATTCAGAGATGATGCTAGCTCATGCAGATATAGTAATCTGAAATCAAGAACTAAAGTCCTGGGCTCTTTCTGGTAGATCAAATTGCCCATAAGTAAATCTTTTAGGACATTTCATCTTTATCAAATGGACAAATTAGAGCAATTTATCTGGTAGGTGATTATGTTCTAGTTGTTCCACACATGGGCAGAGCGTTGCTTTTCTGGAAATATTCTTTGGACCATACGTCACTGAGTCGTTTGGTAGTCGTCTTGTGTTAGACTGGATTAAAGATCAATGAAAATAACTGGGAAGAGGCTAGGAAGCAGACGACTGACAAACTTTAAAAATAATTATTAAAGAGAAAAGGAACTCATCCCTGAAAGTCTAAGATGAATTAAAAATTAAGAATAAAAATTAATAAGTGGGGCCGGCGCTGTGGCGCAGTAAGTTGATCCTCCACCTGCGACGCCAGCATCCCACATGGGCGCTGGTTCTAGGCCCGGCTGCTCCTCTTCCAATCCAGCTCTCTGCTGCGGCCTGGGAAAGCAGTAGAAGATGGCCCAAGTGCTCGGGCCCCTGCACCCACATGGGAGACCTGGAAGAAGCTCCTGGCTCCTGGCTTTGGATTGGCGCAGCTCTGGCTGTTGCGGCCATTTGGGGAGTGAACCAACGGAAGGAAGACCTTTCTCTCTGTCTCTCCCTCTCACTGTCTGTAACTCTACCTCTCAAATAAATAAGTAAAATCTTTAAAAAATTAATAAGTAAGAATAAAATATTTCTTCTGAAAACTCACTTGAGACAAGTAGACTATAATTTGAATTTGGCTTCAAACCTTCTATTATCTTTTCGACTTTGTAGTTCTTTTGATTTTATGTGGTTTTCTCTTTTCTGAATGTGCTAATGGTTTATCAATGATTTATATCTACTTAAAACATTATTGTAAAAGAAAAATCTTTTGACAAACTATTCCATGGATGCCCAATGTAAAACATAAGAAGAAGTGAAGCTTCACTGGGGGCAGGGAACTTTTCTGGGTGTATCCTGTTATCCTCATCAGTGACTCCTGGGGCATTTCCAGAGCACCTACCCAGTTCTATAAACGTGGTGTGGAAACGATTAGTCTATCCCAAGCCAAAGTCCACTTCATTTTATTTCGTTGCAGTTTTCCATAAAGAGGTGCTGCTTATTTTTTCTACCCGGATGATTCAGCCTGGGCCTTAGATTCTCCTGAGAGTCAATGTGCTAACCACATCCACAGTACTTTGTTGTTGATAGAAATCGAGGACTCCATTAGTTGGTACAGACTAAGTTATGCAAGAGTAACAAATAAGGCCAGAAATCTCAATGGCTGAATAGATCAAAGTTTATTTTCTAGTCTTGTTGTGTTGTCTTCTGCATGTGTTATTGGTGGGGGCCATATTCCACATAGACATTCAGAGATCCAAGAGGATAGGAGTCTCTACCAGTGGAACATCACCAGCCCCCAAGGCAAGGTGAGGGAGCAGAGTGCTTGGCTCTGAAGGACTTACTTACCTCTGTGTAGAGATCATTGCTCAGCACTATCAGGCCCTGGGTAATGTGAAGGGCACACTTGCACATTTGGTCACTAGTCAATGTTTCTACCACAAGGGAAACACATTGCTTTTCCATCTCTTCTTTCTGATCAGTTTAGCAATATTTCATGCCAGTGACATTTCTGGAATTTCAATTATTGCACTGCAGAAAACCTAAGCCTCCATAAGACAAGTCTATCTTCTTTGGGATTTTATAACCTGATAAAGGAGGTAAATTAACAAATAATTTTTCCTTTATCCTCAGAAGCTTTTTAAGTTAAGGGTGCTGGGAAGACAGACTATCCTCTTCTATGTTTACCACCCGGCTCTTTTGCAGCTCTTTCTTGTCGTGGCAGACACTGAATGTTTAGAAAGGAAACCGCATGTAAGTCTCATCTGCCAGGGTGACTTATTCCCATAGAGGTTCCCCCCAACTCGGCTTACCTCATTAAATTCTTGATTCCTCCACCCCTGGAAGTTATAACATATTTATGCAATGTATTTGCCTGTATTTGTTCCTCTTTTGGAGTCTAGTTCCCATGAGAATAGAGATGCCTCTATTTTTCCACTACCAGAGTTAGTTGTTTAGGGTTTACCATGGTTCCTGGCACATAAAAAGAACTCAATCACTATCTTAAATGAATTAAATGACCTCCCATTAATAAATAATGGCGTATCAGCAAAGTTCTAGTTCAAAATCTTCCATTGCTACTGCTGGAGAGGTGATGTCTGCAAGTTACTAAATGTCTATAAATATTATTTTCCTCAAAATTGTATCAGGGCCAGTTGAGGGAGTAAATGCAGGTATATATGTGAAAGCAAGCAGTCAATTCTCAGTGTGTGTCTTCTTTTCCTTCTGACCTGGGTCTGTGTTAGAGTCACCATGTATCCTCTCTAGACCATGAACTTAACTCAGTATATGAGTTTCAGGCTACAGCAGACACCATGCTTCTCAGTTTGGAGATAATACTCAGCCAGCAGAGACGCTCCCTCTGCAGCTCTGGTGAAGTGCTTTAGAGTTGGCTTGCCCTACTCTTGATGATTTCAAGACTTCATAGAAATGAAGCACTTCTTTCAAAAGCCTTGGGGAACCTTGGTAGGGCCTGCACAGAGAGTTTGTTGTCTGGGGTAATTGGAAGGAAGGGTGACTAACTAGATGCTTTGATTTTGTCTTTCCTTCCTTCCTCCCTCCAACTTCTTGCCTTAGACAGGCAGTTTCAGCCAGCAAGTAGGTTAATATGATCTAGTTACACCAGCCCAACTTCAGTTGGCGGCTTGGAGTGAATGAATTTTCCAAAGGTGACAGTTTGTGAACAAATAGGACACAGACTAGGAAAACAAATCAGTGTAAATCTCCAGTTTATACATCAGTGCTCAAAGTCTGTACACTGCCGAACGGGAGATGATCACATAGGTTAAACCTCAATAATTCTAGGACTATTCATATTTCTGAATACATAGAAGACAATGAATATTTTTAATTATATTTTCAAGAAGAAATCTAATACTCCTGGACATTGTTAAAGGCTTAGCCTTACTTCACATTAGAATAGTGGTTCTATGTAATTTAGCAGAATGATCAAAAGCATTGCATTTGAATAGACAAGGGCTCGCCTACAGCACTTCTTTTCTGTGTGATTTTTCTGATTCTTGTATTACTCATCTGGCAAGTGATGATCATAACTCCAATCTTGCAGAGAAACTGTGAAGATCAAAAGAGGTAATATGAAGAAATGATATGAAAGTGCCTAGGACAATGCTTGATATATAGAAAATATCCACATGTGAGTACTGCTCTCTCGTTGGTCCCTTTTTGGAAGAATCAGTCTCTGGGAAGAAAATTGAGAATAGTGTCTACCTTTTGCCATCACAAGTAAGGCCAGAGTTCATTAAAACATTTTCTCTAAAACATTTGGAATTCCCAGAATGAAACTTACCCTACGGCTAGTGGCATTTTTCAAGTTCATTTCATCCCTCTGGCAGGTTATTGTTGCACAACTCATTGTACATGATGTTTACCGTTCCATTTATAGTGAAAATTCTATAAAATAATTTTTCTTTTAAATAAATAAAGAAGATATAAGTTTCTTTTTAACTTAGCAGATATACACATATTTTCTGGTACCAAATGTGAGATGGAAGAGCTATGAGTACTGGATTTAAATTGGACGACAATCCAGTTACCTTCTTTTTTTCCTGTTTTTTTTTTTTGTTTTTTTTTTTTAAGATTTATTTTGTTTGAAAGAGTTACAGAGAGAGAGGGAGAGACAGAGACAGAGTCACACAGAGAGAGATCTGCCATCTGCTGGCTGACTCCCCTAAAGCTGCAACAGCCAG